CTGGACGGTTCATGGAATACACCGCATTGATCGCTTCCCGCGAGCACATACTAGCAGAGTGCGCCAAAACGGAGTTTGTCCAGGGAGGAGTCCGTTTTCCAAAACCGGCACCCACCAAAGCCAACACGGACAAATCAAAATACTGTCGATTCCACCGAAGCCACGGTCACGTAACAGAGGATTGTATCCACCTAAAGGACGCAATCGAGATTTTGATCAAGGACGAACACCTCAAAAGATACACCCGAGGAGGAGAGCCCCCGCGGCAGGAGGCCCCCGAAGCTAAAAGAGTCGAGGACCTCCCTCCCCCAGAAGGCGAGCCTGGTCTACAGGTGGCCCTCAGCGTCAGCCGACCTGAGGACTGGTTCGCCCTCAGGGAGTTCAGCCTTCCCGCAGAACTTGAACTACCTGAGGAGCCAGCGCGCCCCACCAGCTGGTGGGAGTATTTCCCGAGGGCAATGGTCATCTCCGGAGGAAACCAGAGCAAGCTGTCCGTGGTATCAGTTAAACGAAAGTTCGACGAGCTTATCAGCAGGAGCTCTGGCAAGATGAGCATGCTCGACAAGTTCCAAGGTCGTTCCAACCCGATCACCTTCTACCTCGAGGAACTCCCCGGGGGAGCCCCGAACTCCAACGCATCCTGGTCGACGGGGGGGAGCTCGGTGGATATCATGTACACCCATCTCTTCGTGACGTTTCAGCTCGACGAATCCAACTTATCCCCCTACCTAGGCTCGGATCTACAGGGCTTCAACAGGACGATCACGAGAACATGGGGGTACGTGGAGCTTAAGGTCACCTTCGAGGAGAAGGAAACGGCCATAGAAATCAACGTCTGTTTTCTGGTCGTCGAGTGCCCATCACTATAGAACTGCATCCTGGGCAGAACGACGATGGCCAAACTCGTCGTGGCACCATCGACCGTCCGTCTAAAGATGACACAATGAAGATTGTGAAGATTGGGGCGGGACTGCCCGACCTTGCGAGGAAACAACTAGAGGCCTGCCTCCGTGAGAATGCCGATCTCTTCGCCTGGAGCGCCGCGGAGATGCCCGGACTCGACCCCGAGGTCGCCTGCCACCAGCTCTCCGTCAACCCGGCCTCTAGGGCCATAATTCAGCGTAGGCGTACGCAGTCCCCCAAAAAATCGGCGGCGGATGAAAAAGCTGTAAAAGACCTCATAGAGGCAAATTTTATTTCAGAAGCCCGGTATTCAACCTGGCTGTCCAACGTTGTACTCGTTAAGAAAAATAATGGAAAATGGAGAATGCGTGTCGACTACACGGATTTTAACCGGGCGTGTCTCCAAGAAATCACCCTCCAACTCCCGGATCTTCCTTAGCAAATCCGCATGGGTGACCATAAGCTTGTCCTTGTCCGTCTCGTCGTCGGCAGGATGGAGAGATCCTTCCAGCTCCCCCACGCGGGCCTTCAACGCCTGCACCTCCGCCTCCGCATCCTTTAGCTTCTCCTCGGCACTCTCCCCCCGCTTGCGTTGTATCTTCCTGGCTCTTCTCCAACTCCTCGGCCAGCTTGGTCAGCCGCGACTGCGCGAAAGTGAGATCACCCTGCAGCTTAGCCAGCTCAGTCGAGGAGCAGCTTTCATCGCTCAGGACCAAGGCCGTCGAGAACACACGCATCATGGCCGCCAAATCCTCAGTCAAAACCTGCCTCCGAGTAGCCCGATCCAAATCGAGGACCTTCTTGGCCTCCCCGACCGGTACAGCTGGCAACCTAGCTCCATGAAAGAAGATAGGGTGTTGGTAGCACGGAGGAATTAAGAATCCCTCCTCGGCGAACCCTGCCATCAAGTCGACAACACCCTCGGGCCGATGAACCTTGGCCCGCTTAGCAGCCCCTTGAGACAACGGGGACTGGCTGCCCTGGGGCGACGAAGAGGAACCCTTGCCTCCCTGATCAGAAACAGCTTGCCCGGCCACTTGGGCAACCCGCGTCTTACCGACCTTGACTGTGACTCTAGTGGCAGCCAACTTCTTCACTCTCTCCTCAGCAGTAGACATGCTCCCTGCAAAATGAAAGAAAAATGTCAGCAAAAGAATAAATAGTTGAGAGAGCAAGGGGATAGGGAGACGACCACCACCTAGATAACTAAGGGCCTCCTCCTCTGTCGAACACTCGAGCAGAGCCTTCGTGTTGATCAGCCTCTGCTTCTAATAAACGCGCCCCTCACTGTCGCGGATGTATCTACCGTCAGGCGTGACGAGGTTCGCCGGGGGTATGCCGGCCACGAACGCAACTATCTTCTGATAACCGGCCAGGTCCTCCTCGTCCAGGGTCCCTGCTCGCACGATATATCGATCAGTACCCCTCGAGAATTGTTCCTCAGTCCACTCCAAGGGCACCTTCGGGATCAAGACTTCCTCCCGCTGACCATTTACTACTCGCTCCCCTCTCCTATACAACGAGGAGCACGCTCCATGAGATATCGGCCTAACAACGAAGAATCGAGCCTTGAAGTCCCGGACAGAATCCATGTACGTCCGAAAAAGCTTTTTCGATTGTTTCAGCGAAACCCATCCATGCCGACCATCCACCGTCTTCCGCTGCAGATGAAAAAGACGGAAGAACAACGGCAACGTCTCCCCGATCTCCAGGTACCGACAAACGATTTCGAACGCGCGAACAAAGACTACGGCGTTAGGGTGCAGCTGCGGGGGGGGCTAACCGTAGCCAATCGAAGACCCCCAATTGGAAATCCGTGAACGGCAACCGGAGCCCGACTTCGTGGAAACAAAATTCGTACATAGGGAAACGCATCTTCCCAAACGACGAGCAGATGCGGTGGTGCTCGCGAGGCCGATACGCCTGCCAGTTCTGGGGGTCATTCTCACACCTATCCTCGACGGTGGCGAACGCGCCATTCTGATCATCCACAAAATACGAGGGAGTATTCAGGGGTTCCTCAGCCACCCACTCCTCGACCGGTCGGACTGCATTCTCGACGGTGGGCGCCTCTTGCTCGTCATCCACGTCCATAGTCCCCGGGACCCACGATGTCATTAACACCTAAAAAGCAAAAGGAAACGGTGAATTCGATGTCCGAGATCAAATTCACCCTTCCACTGCAGGCCAAGAGAAAGGGCGACGGGGATAACATCCACGACAGGAATAATAGCCATTCGGGCAAGCGTCTCCGGGGAATTCGTCCTACCTTCCTCGACGTCCCCGGGGAACGCTTTTAAGCCTATCAACCTCCTCGGGCCGCTCCTAGAATACTACTACCCGTCCCCGGGGCGTGCATCTAAAACTAGTACCTGTCCCCGGAGAATTCAAACCTCACCCCCTCACGACCTCGACGCATCCATCCTAAACCTAGAAAACGCCACCTAAAGCGGCGGATATTCGCATCCCTCCTCGGACAGGACGGCGGAGATTCACCTCTGTCCTCAGGGCATTCAACACGCCTCGGTGCCAGCTCTAAGATTCGAAACTATAATAGACAAAGAGAGGGAACTTACTGGATTGAAGGTAACGGCGGAATGCGCGGTGGTTGGTGCGGCAGAGATGTCAAGCAGGCACAAACAAATCAGTCGTCACGTGAGAAAGGAAGCAGAAGAGAAAATATGGAATGGACGGGGGCTCACGTGCTTATACCTCCAGCAAGGGACTCGAAGCGTCCCTAGGCACTTGAATGTCCTAGGGTAGCCGCCCCCACATGGCCTATTCAACGCTTGACACGTGGCGTAGGCTAACAGTCACGTCCCTTCACATATCCCCGACAACAACGTCTGTTGTGACGTCGTCCTCTTCTCAGACGGCAGACAATCTGAACACGCCCATACTCACACCAGATAGGAACATTCCCTCGACCTCAGTGCCCGACAGTTGCCTCCCCGACACAGTCTCCTGAATAAACGCAACATCGTCAAGTCCTCGCTCCCACACCGCGGAGCTACGCCTTGGGGGGCTCCTGTTCTGGCCTGGGCCCCGCCAGATTGGAAAGGCCCAACCCACCTATGCTTGGGAAAAGGCCTAAAGGAGCTTTCCTCATGTATGTCGAGCACGAGTCTCCCTTCGACCAGACCTTGCCGTGTCAGGCAGGGCGCTTCCCCCGTCGGGCAGAAAGACGTGTGCCTCACACGTCCTCCACGTGCTCCCTTCCGCGGGGACACGTCATCAGACAACTACCCACCTCCGAAAGAGCAGGTCAGCCCACCTTCCGGAGATCACGGGGCAGTTGACCTAGGGCGAAGACCACGTCCTGGTCTTCACTACGTCACGAAAGCCCTAGCAGTCCCTTGAGTTGGGCCTGACAATCCAGCCCAACACAAGTGACCGTTGGCCCTGCGCTGAGGTCTCACTATAAATACCCTCTTTCACTAGAGGGTCAGGTATTCAATTCTCAACCTACTTTATGTATTTGCTCTCACTCTGTCCAATTCCTTACTTTGCCATCGAAGTGTCTTGCAGGTACACTCCCCTCCTCCTTCTTACCACCGGTGAACAGACAGTAGATCAAAGACGCGTGGCGGTCCATTGATTCCCTTCTGATCAGGTCAGATCAATATTAAAAAATAAAATTTTAATCAATAAATGTTAACATGGTGTTCTAAAAACTCCATGAGTTCAATATATGAAAACACAAGTGTCCAAAGCAATTAAAATGAAAAGAAAAGAAGAAAAAAAAACTCATACAATAAGATCAACTATATGTGGATTTGTATATCATTTATGTGTCACAAGATTATTTTGTATTCAAACAATGAAATGAATCCTGAATCCTCTGTCATACATGGCTGTTGCAAATTTACAAAAGAACAAGTCAAAGAATTTTGGAACTCCGGTGGAATGCAATAAAAGTATTTCTTTTGTAACTATATACGTAATTCCATTTGATCTTCTAAGCCTCTAGAAAATATACAACTCATCAATGAAACAATATTTGATACTAATCTCTTATTTATGAATGATACTAATCTCTGAATGACAAGAACTCAGTAGCAAACACTTAATCATTCTGACATTTACTGTCTTTTTTCTCATTTCTCAGAAGCTCTCATCTTTTCAACAATGTGCCGACCCTTTTCTTCAATGTTCCGCTTCTTTTCTTCAAATTTCTCGCTCATTTTCCTTCGCAAATCAAACATCCTTTCCTTTTTTCCAATTTTCTTCGGCTTTGAATCATCCTGTTGAATCGAAGTCGGACTGCTTGATCTGTCCGGCACCACACTATTCGAAGGTGAACTGCAACCAGAAACATCATCCCTCTTCTCTTCACTAGCTTCTTCACGGCCACTTTCTATTAAAGGCGTACAAAGATCTTTCAAGTCACTAGTTTCTTCTTGTTGGCCACTTTCTAATAAAGGTTTCATATATTCATCCAAACTTTTGCTATTCCTTAATGCTTCTGAAATAGAAGACAACGAAGAAATTGTGAGAGAATCTAATTTCCTAGTATTGCTATTCCTAAATTTTTGTTGTTTCAGTTCCGAACCATCAGTTGAAGTCCTTGCACTAGCTTCATTACTGGTATCTGTTGGGTGGGCTTTCCCAACAGTATCAATTGAATTTGAAGTTTCACTCCCGGATTCTGGGTGGATCCATATAAACGGAGCAACACTACGAGGAACCCAATCATCTTTTTCTGCTAGCATCCATTGAATGTTTATGTTTTCACTATTTGGGAGCACTAGCGTGTCCCGAATCGCTGCCTGCAGAACAGAAATAAACATAAACATTTGTGAGATTATTGAAACAACTTGTAGAAACAATTTATGATACCTTCATAACCTAACGGAAAGGGAACGGTTGTATGTACCTTGAGTCGACTGATTAGGAACATTGCAATGTGAGTATTAGTAATCTTGTGTTCTCCAACAGATGATTCCAAGCTTAAGTCTATATCAGGCATAAATGTGAAACCATACCACAGTTGATCGGAAGGTGGTGGCTTTATTAGAAACCGCAATGTCCCTTTAAGGGATGCTACCCTTATTGCCAACGAGATAGGAACCTTTTGATAACAAACAAATCCATTAATTTGAGAACAACATAGCATTAGCTATTTATAACTCCATGCTTATATAGAATAGAATGAACGCTGATACGACACTAACCCATGTAAATTACATTCGAGCACTTCTATTTTCTTAAATTATTATCGTCGTCTATGTTGATGTAGTGTCTGTATCAGTGCTTTATAGTTCAAATATTTCTCTTTTTTCAAAGAATGATATTCAGTTCATAATATCCACATGAAAGTGCCCTTTTGATTAGTTTGTTGTTAAAGAGCCATTCAAATAGTCTCACATAAAAGTTCATGTTTTTTTGACATGATAACCGAGTTCATACAAGTCCAAACCATATGTCATAATTTATATAGCTGATTCATAATAATGAAATAACAGCTGACAAAAATGCAGTGGGAAAAAGAAACCAGTGGAAAAAGTGGAGAGAATAATAAAGAAACGGTACCTGTGAAACATGCTTGGCAACAGAATTTAACATAGATTTCCATCTTGAAGAAGGTGTGTGGCTCTTAAACTTCTTTGGCGCGTCTGCAAAGGAAAAATTGACATCATCCACTTGAATGCCTTATAATAGCACTTATATCTAGATATGAGGATAGCTTGTCTACACGAGTGTAGAAGAGAAATGCAGAACTAGAAAAAGTTTGATAAGGTACCCTATAGGAAACAAGACCAAAAAAACTGTTGAAAACCACAAAATTTCATTTCCGATGTTATAAATCTAAAAATAAAATAAAAAACTTGTAACTAAAGAAAAAAAGGAACAAAAATTAAAATCTCATAAGATGCTATAGGTGGTAACAGAAGGAATTTTTAACCAAAAGTGCCAAAAGAATTACAGTATAACATGCTTCAAAACTGTTTCTGTCTCTTTTAAAAACAAAAACATGTGAATGGTTTTTTTACCGAATTATGTTTTCCATGCAAGGGCTCTTTGAGAGAGGCAGGGATTGAACTCTTGACCTTTCGGTCAGGCTCTAATACATCATGAAATATAAATCATTCTAAAAGCTTGAGTTTTTAAATAAAGGCTTGCAAATGGTTAGCACTACGATTTTCATCAACTCCATTTTAGCAGGAGAAAAATCAAGTTCAAAGATAACAAACAACTACGTAGAGAAAATCATAAGTAGCGGAATGTGATAGAACTTACGTACTTAATTGCTTATCATTCATTCCTTCTGCAAGACCTAATTGCTTCAAGTCACCATCTTCTTTAGGCTCTTGCAAATCTTTCGTTCCTTCGGCAAGACCTAACTGCTTATCAAAATATCCAAAATCTTGAAGAATATCTGATGGAACAGACCCAACGTTGCTTGACTCGGGATTTGAGCCTTCCTTCTCTAGTTCACGGACTTCTAGCCTTGTTTCAATTTCTAATATTGCACTTCCAGAATATTCAATGTCAACCTCTAAGGCGCATACCTCACTCATTTCCATCGGAAGAACCCTCATCCCAATGATACAGGGTGGAACGTTCCCCAAGTTGATGTCTGTACAGACGACTTCACCAACATAAGCAGGAGTTCTCGTGTTAGACAATGTCCTCTGTAAAAAAAATAGAGAAGACCAGAATAAATTATCATAACAAAATGAAGCTTTCAATATGATTACTCCAGAATAGAGTTTGATGGAGCGAAATGAGGCAGGCTAGCAGTTAAACTGTCAACATATACTCTTTATGTGTTAAACTAAATAAGTACTATTCATCCAGGGTTCCAATATGGATGAGTTAGTATATTAATATCGATTTAACAAAGCAACAAACTAACATAGAGTAGACAAATTGAATGTTAGCTAAATAATTCTCATCTAATGTAAAGATGACTAAAAAAACATAAATTCCTATGGGAAAATCTTAAACCTGAATTCTTTCTTGTACAGATTTCTTCATTTCCTCATTGCCTTTGATATCAAAAAAGAGTCGGGAAATCAACAAATTCCAACATAATGTTCCTTCACCGATACCAAACTTTTCATCGGTGTCAGAACAGAGAGAAAATTGACTTAGGCTTCTTGAATGAGACAATGTTGAAAATTGATTTTGGCTTCCTGAATGAGACAATGTTGAATATTGACTTTGGCTTCCTGAATGAGACAATGTTGAAGATTGGCTTCCTGAATGAGACAATGTTGAAGATGATAGTGGAGCATCGTCTGACATTGCACTTTTCAGATGATTAGCTGCTCCAGCATTTTTCATGTAGCTAGTGGCTAAAACTGCATCTTGACAAGCACGAAGCTTGTCAGCTTTCTTTTTATCTTCACGGCCTGACAACGACGTCGAACCTGATTTGCTATCTAAACCAACACGCGAACTTTTTCTTGTAATTTTTTTCAAAAATTGACGGACCTTTGAGGAAGAGCCATCCGTCTTAGTAGCCTTTTCTATTACCTCAACACCTGTTCCTAATGACGGTTTCATATAAGAATGATATTCAGTATTTAACAATGTCAGATAACTACGAAACTCTTCTTGCAATTGGGAAAACCATTTGAGTTTTCCTCTCTCATTGCATGAGGCCATTCGAAGGGCCTTACACCATGCCTCTTTCTCGGATGAAGTCTCAAGATATACGTAAAGAGTTTTGCTTCCATGGTATATCACAGAGGTCTTGTTTTCGACTTTGATAGGGAACTTTTTTGCCCTATAAAATTCATTACCAATCAAATAAGAACACGCAGTACCTAATTTCCATAGCTAATCATTAAGGGCATAATAAAAATAATCCATACCCATAATCACAACAACAACAACAACCAGGCCTTATCCCACTAAGTAGGGCCGACATGGATCAAACAAAGCCATAATGTTCTGTCATATATCATATTTCTATCAAACATGTTAACTTCTAGGTCTTCCTAGGCCTCGAGCTATACCAAGTTACATTTTCTTTGGAATGCATGCATGGCATAAAGGAAATGCGATATATCCATTCTAAATCTAAAACTAGGGAATGTTCAAAAGAAACCCATTTCTCAGCAATTTTACAATCAGGGTTGTATTATACCTTTATATAGACATAAACTTTAATGTTATCAAGATAAACTAGACATTAGACACATGCATTAAACCCAACCAAATAACTAAAACTAGTATCCTAGAAGTTCCCCTCAAGAAGCCAATAGAATCAACCATAAAGAATCACAAATTAAAGTAAACAAATCAATTTTAAAAATAGTGAAGTCCAAAACCACAAATCAAAGTCACATAACATAATGCAAATGGAAACAACACCAAAAGAAAAGCCTTCCCCACTTCAGAACATTACCATTTTTTTGTAGGAAGGCTTGTGGCAGAAACAGCTTCAACAATGCATCCCTTGAGTTGAATGGTTGTATCCAAGCCATCAGGTTCAGTGAGAACGAGTGACTGATGTTTGATTTTACCATACTTCCTAACAGGAGAAGCCTCAAAAAGTTCTTTTTTCTTTTTCACCTCTTTTGATGCTCTTTCCATAAAGTACTTTGAAACCTTTTCTGGTTCTAAAACCCAAACCACGCCCTGAAGAAAGCCAAAGCCAAACCGAAATCCAATATCAATGACATGAACAATCTGAAACACACAAAATAACCAGATAATAAAATACTAAAAAAAATTGCTATCTTAGTTGACTCTACTACACAAAATGAGGGTTTCACAAATAAAAAGGGAAGTTTTTGGAAGAATCAAAGTTACCTCTTTTTTGAAACAATTTTGAGAATCATCAAATTTTGAACTATTACTACTACCAATTCGGGTTATTGATGAAATTTTGTCTCTATCACTGTTAATCTTGCAACGCAGTCGTTTAAGGATCCACAAGAAAGCAAGAAATTCAACACCAACAACAACAACCACACCAAGAAGAAAGCCAAAGAAGATGAAAGCAGAAACCATAACCATTTCACAGACCTTCAATTGTTGAAATTTGTTGAAATCTGATGTTAAACCTAGCCAAAAGAGAAAAAGAATAAAAATTGGATTTTTGAAGATACCCAGAAGTTAAAAATGGAATCAGATGCTAAGAAACAATAATAGTGCTGAAGAATCAGCTTCTTTCTTTGTTGTTTCTTCGTAAAGTTGTTAAATTGAATATTTGTTAGAAGGAAAGAGAGGGAGAGAAAGAGGGGTTTGTGTTTGTTTGGATTGATGGGGACATGGGTTGACGTGATTGGGTAATTTCTGAATGGAATTTTGAGAATTTGTGTATGCATGAAAATGTTGCAATTGCAATGCAACAAAGAACGAGTGGGAGAGGAAAATTTAGCGGTTTGATAATGAATGGAAACTATTGAGATTGGTGGGTACCACTAAATAATAATAATATACAAAACATAATATCAATATTTAAAATTAAATAATAAATACTTTATTATTTGAATTAGTATTTGTAATTACAAAAACTTTTTTATTATTGACATTATTATTATTATTATTATTATTATTATTATTATTATTATTATTATTATTATTATTATTATTGAAATAGTCTTATATTAGAAATTAAGTGTTGTCTATGATGGGTTGGTTTACGGTATCAAGCCCATTATACATATATAATTGGTTTCCTTCTTTTATCGTTTGGATGGTTAAATCGAGGATTATATTATTATGCAATATGCTAACAAATTAGATCGATCCGATTCTCAACCCCATTAGGTTACGTTTATGTTGCATGCTAACTATTAAATATGTGTACGGTTCATAATCATGTCGCTTCTTTCATTCATTCTCTTATCTAAGACTTTGTTATAGAAGATATGTGCCAGCTTGAACCTTATCTTGCTCTTGTTTCTTCACATTTTGGTCGTCCTTGTTACGATAGTTGTTGTTGTTCTTGTTTTGGGTTATACGCCGATTTTTGTTGATATTATCTATTTTTCTGATCTATCCTTTTGGCTTACTCCCTATTTTATATTGATCTCTGATTTTGTTATCATTGTCTTGAATATTTTTTCCACCATTGTGTCGTATCTCAAAAAATATGATTGTAACGTTAGTTTTATTTTGATTAATTTAATTATGATATTTTGTCGTGTCTCGTTGTGTCGTAATTGTATTCGAGTGCATTGGGTGAAGTTTAGTCGGGAGATTTGACTGTTAGTGTGAAACAGAAGCAAAAGAGCAGAAAGGTGGATTTTTCTGATGTGACGCTCGTCACAAGCATGTTACGGTCGTCGCGCTCATTACGATCGTCATGGGAATGTTACGACTGTCATGGCCTTGACGTTCGTGACGTTCATTACGTTCGTCACACTAACAAAATCCGTAACTTGCAGAATTGGAACGTGGCTACGAAATATGGAGAATTATAGTAACGTTATTCCACATTTCACTTACCCTCTTTTTTTCTGTCGTTGTTTGGAGAGAAAAGATAACTGAAAAGGAAAAAGTGACGTAGTTGAGAGAAGTTGATAACAGAAGAATTGTCCATCAGTGAAATTAGAAGATAGTTGCAGGAGAGTTACCGTAGAACAGAACCAGAACCGGAAAGCGTAGAGTTGACCTCAATTCTAAGGTAAGGGTGGGTTCAATTCTATAACCGTAGGTATGATTGAATTCAGGTAGGGAATCGAATCATAGATATAGTTTCCGTTAATCGATAAATGTTAGGGACGAGGTTTGTCTGTGTAGGAATGAATGTGTTATATCGTTAGTTTTATACGATGCTGTATGGTTACCCTTAATGGGGCAAGATTAGTTGCCCCGTAGTTAACGAACCTTGTCAGAAACTATAATTAATTTAGTGAGTAAAAATTGTAATGTTGTTCTTACGATAATGTGCTGAATTCTTAATTGTTGAAAGTATGTTGTTATTGTTCTCGTATATGAACAGGTGGGAAATAATGATTTCATGAGTTGTATGAAATTATGATGCTCTGTTATGGACAGTTTGGTTGTAGGCTAAAAGCCTTGTTGTATGGTTGTTATGGTTGTGTTGTAGTCCATAATAGATGCATTTCATGGCATATCATTTTGGTTGGCCTATATTGGCGTTTGGTTGGCCTGTATTGGCGTTGGTTGTGCCTGTATTGGCGGCCTTTAATGGCAAATGAATTAGTTGTGGAGTTTTACTCCGAAATGGTACCACATGCATGTGCATAGTTGAGTCGCATGATGTCGCATCGTTGTGTCGATTGTAAGTCATGATTGTTGCTGAATTTTCTTAATCATCGTTGTATCTATGAGATATGGGTTAGCTTGCGGTTTATTGTAAATAATGTTTATAAATTTGCGAAGATTATAATGCTGTGATATGATTTCTGACATGATTTTTATCATGCCTTATGTTATATTGTTGATATCTCACCCTTTACGTTGTATGTCACCCCGTTGGTGGTGACTTGCAGGTAACCTGGAATAAGGTGTCGCGTCGTGTAAGGTGTCGTCGGTCGCTCTGATACGTAACACTCTTGGGGAGGGATGAACGGTTATTTGTGTTGTTTAATTGATTTCCTTGTTGCATGGATTTTATTGAATACTTTCGTTAAATCAGTTGTTTCTGTTAGTGCTGATGTTGTGGTTGAAACTAGTTGTTTCGAGTCATTACTCGCTGAATTTTAATGACGTTTACCTATTGACTTTATTATGAATTGTTGGAAGCCGTTTAGGTTCCGCTGCCAAATGACGGGTTGTCGTATTATCAAAATGTTAATCAAGTTGTTGCTATTTGTTCATCCTAATCTGTGTTATGTAAGTTACTAAAAGAATTGCAAATGTATGACCGACTGTTTGAGTTGAAATTGTAACGCCCAAAATTTGTAAGCGTGACGTTCGTCACAATTTCCTCATGATCGACATGTTTACAAAATTTGTTGCACTCTGATTCTGTTCTCCTTAATTATCTGTTTGGTTAGAAACGGGTGTTACAATGATCCTCGCGATGGACGCGAAAAAACCGTTCGAACAGAGTCACCACCGAACTTTATTCATTCCAAGAAAGGAATAGGAAAATATCGATAAAACCTTTAAAGAGATAAGAACATGGTCATCGCAACTAAATTCTAGGTTCGGGAGCCGATTACATAAAGGGAAGGTATTAGCACCCTCTACGTCCATTGTACTCAACGAGAACCTCTTGATTCGATTCGAGAGAAAAGTTAGATAGGTTGTTTGTTTTCTTCTAAGGATTTGCTTCTAGGGGAAATGGGTAGTTTTACATTATGGTGCTCGCCAAGGATTGGGGTCTTTGTGCCTACTTATTCCATCGTACAATGGGAAAGTCAGAGCGTCGTAGCTCGTGGGACTACTGTAAAAGGTTTGGAGAAAATGAAAGATGGAGAGAAGGTAGCTCGCTAGGATCTCGCAATCTTATGCATACATATTCTCATTGACAAATGAGAAATCAGAGCTCCCGTAGTTTGGAATATTATGAGTGGTTGGTTTGTGTTTGAAGCGAATGAGTGTTTAGGTCGCATTTTAACTGCTAAACATTGGTCTGTCTGCTCAGGGGAGGCTGAAACACTAGTTCATATGCGCAGAAGAAGGTGTTAGAAAACATATTGATTCTTAATTATATCTCTATGTTTTGATGATAACACTAATGAAATTTTGTATTAAGAAATTATATACTCTAAATTTGTTCAAGTATTTTTGCTGCAGATATTAAATTTAATATTCTTCTGAAGGAAAAAATGGATCTGAACATTGAACTACGCAAGGCTCTGAGCGTCAGAAGCATCTCGTTAGAAGACTCTGAGCGTTGCCTACAGAAGACTCTGAAGCAGAAGCTACAGAAGCATCTGAAGCTTAGACTGAAGACTTTGTATGAAGAGTTTCAAGCATTGTTTTTCAGAAGACTCTGATAGTACTGTTTGCTGCAAGTACCGAGGATCTGATCTCCAAACTCTGCTCTGACAATTACTCACGCTGAAGCACACTTGCTGCAACACTCTGATACAGCAAACTCTGATGACATCATGTCTCTGATCACTCAAGGCTCTGATGTTGATTGCTGTGAAATAGAAACTTGTTAAAGAAGATTATTTAAAGTTATATCTGTTGGTTATGCCAAACGACTCTTTCCTCTTTCATGCTAGACACAAGAACTCAGGCAAAAAGGATTTCTCTGAACATTCTACTTCTAGGAAAGGTCAAGTGATGTGAAGACAAAAGGCTACAACTACTTTGCAGTACACGGTCTTCAAGCTTGCAACATCTTGGACTTCTTTGTCTATATAAGCAAGCCTTCAACAACTTTCTTCAGTTGACGAAAATTGATAAAACTATTGAAAACTCTCTCAAAGCTCTCATACAAATTATTATTATTTGTTGAATAGTTTCATAAGTTCTTAATCTTAAGTGTATAAATCACAATTGTGATATAGCTTTCTTAGAAGCATTTCAAAGACTTGTTTAGTTTACATTTGATTGTAAAAGTTCCTTGAGAAGACCAAGTTGTGGTTAGTAGTTCTTGAGAAGACTAAGACAGTTGTTCTTAGTGGTTAATATTGTAATTAGTTTGATTATAGTGGATTAAGTCCTTGTGGAGAAAGGCAAATCACTCTTGATAAGGTGGACTGGATTAGTTGAGTTCAACGAACCAGGATAAAAATCATTGTGTTTTTATTGCCATAATATTTTCTAAATCCTTATTCAACCCCCCCCCCCCCCTTCTAAGTATTTTCTCACCTTCAGTTGGCATCAAAGCTCCGGTTCTGTGTGTGCTATCACTTCACCGTGAACAGAAAAGTTCCAGTGAGAAAACTCTTGATATTTTTTTGTTGATACATTATGGCTGAAGCTTCAACATCCAACAGCAACAGATATGAAGAAAGGGATAGAATCGGCACAAAACCCCTTATGTTTGATGGGGAGAAGTTTGACTATTGGAAGGACAAAATAGAGAGTTTCTCCCTTGGTTATGATGCTAATCTTTGGGACTTAGTCATTGATGGTTATGT